CTTAACGACTGAGCCACCCAGGCACCCCTGTTGCTTACTAATTAAGAGGCATTTTTTTACCACTCTTTCTACTACTAAAGATTTTAGAATATCTGGAATTAACTTTTAATAAGTAAATATTTATTATACTTTACAATTATAGATCTAATATTTTAAAAATATTGCTTAAATCTTGATCTAACTTCACTTGTGTATAGTATGTTCTGATTCTTAGCTACAGCCTTATTGGTAATCAGCATCATTAAGATGTATAAACCTTGAAATAATATTACTATGCTAGTATAGTAGAAGAAACAAATATATTCAAAGCAATGCTCATAGTTACTTCAGAAGAGACAGTGTCTTTAAATGCACATTTAAGTAGCTTGAAAATATCAGGCATTATCACTTAGAATCTTGAAGGAAGTAACTTCACATTTGACATCATACAAATTGATGTTGTTGTTTTTTTTTCCCCTTTAAAACACATTGTTATTAACTTGAGCGTAAGTTTTGGGATCAGGACACCTAAATTTCAATCTTGTCTCTTTCAGTATTCAGCTGAGTGAGGTTATAGTCTTGGAGCTTTAATTTCTGCATTTGTAAAATGCTAGAAGTCTTAATATCTTCCCCAGATCATTGCTTTGCAGAATAAAAAAAGAGGCAGCATTGGAGAGATGTGTAAATTATAAATTTATACAAATATTTATTTTTAAGGTGATGATTTTAATTATCTCAACCTAGTATTACATAGTTTATTTCAAATGCCACTTTTGTAATATATCTAGTCAAATGTGCAAGCATAAAAATTAATGTAATTTTGAAATTATATTGGGATTGTTTATTCACTCAGTATTTTAAAAGTAGCTTGAGATTATCCACAAATAATATTTTTCATTCTGATTGATTGATTGATTGATTGCACAATATTCACAAAACGTACAAAGTGCTAGTCCCTGAAATGGACGCTTGGAATACAAGGGTGAGAAAACAACAACAACAAACAACACTGGTCCTTGTCTTTAATGAACAAGTAGTTTGTGGGAAAGACAGACATTAATTAGATGACTGTGCAGGTGAATGTGTCATGATATGTACTAAGTGATCAAATGTAAGAGAATATAATGGAGAATCCAATTTATACCGGGGAGGGGTCACTACAGACCTCTTTGAGAAAGTAACATTTAAGCTTAGCCCTAAGTAATGGTTTGCCAGTTAAATGAAAGAATTCTAGTGGAATGCACAGCTTGCATAAGGTTGTGAGGAGGGAAGGAATTGTGTCTGGTGTGTGGTAGCAAAGGGTTAGGACCAGGGGATGATTGAGACAAAACTTAGAAGGATGAAGGTGGAAAAGGCTCCTCAGAGCTCATTTGGTGCTGAGCTTTGTAGACCATGTTAAGGATTCTGGGTTTATCCTAATACAAGAGGAAGCCTAGAAGCATTTTAAATTATGAACAATATTTCTTTTATGTTTTGAGAATATTACGGTGTCTGCAGAGTGGAAAATGGGCTGGATGGTTGCCAGAGTAGAAGGCGGAGAAAGAAAAATGCTACTGTGCATGCCCCAGGGAGAGAGGAGGTTGGCCTAGACTAAGGTGATGCCAGTGTAGGCAGAGTGAAGATTTGAGAAATGTCTCAAGAGGTGGAATGATGCAACTTGGTTTAGTTGAAGGGTCAAGAAAAGAAAGGAGTCAAGGACTGCTTCCTTGAGCACTTTGGGTGGATGACGAATTACTAATTGAGCTGGGAAAATTGCAAGAGAAGCAAGTTGGATTTGAATTAGTTAGAAGTGCCTGTGAAGCATTTGAGTGGATTTCTACCATAGCAAGTTTGTTATACTGGTGTGGAGTATTGAAGAAGAATCTTAAAATTCTCTTAGGTGGCATTAAGCACAGAGATTAAAAAAAAAAAAACTTTGCAATGATGCTTCTGTATTTCTATAAGTAAGTAAGTGCTTGTCTTTCCCCCGTAGAAATTAGATTTCATTTGTGCTAGATATAGATGGAATCCCTGCTAAGGTACTAACTTGGATAATTGCAAAAAATATTTCCCCTAGGTTTATATAATTTAGTATATTGAAAGCAATCTTTATTTTTTATTTTTAATCTATTACTTGTTTTGCAAGTCTTAAGGAATGTAATTTGAAAAATTACAACTTGGTTTTAAGTTTAGCAGTGATGGAAATTTGTTTTAATAATACTTAATTTCTGTGAAGATTTATTCAGAATCAATTTGAAATATGTACATTTCAATAATCTATTATATACTTTGAATATATCAGAATGTTTTTTGGTAGTTTGTGTTTTGGTCCAGGTGCTTTGGGAAAATGTCTTACAGGAGTGGGTTTTTTCTTTTTCCTTTTTTTTTTTTTTTTTTTTCTGTAGCAAGTACAATGTCCTTGTCCTGTGTTCTTAGAAAACCATTCTCTCTCAAGGCCATTTTAATATATGTGAAGGTGAAAGGGCATTCAAACCAACCAGAACAAAGAAATCAAAACCAGTCCTTCTCTCTCAGTTTTGCTCTGATTTTATAGTTTGATTGTTAGGGTGATTTTCTCACTGCTTCCTTAAAGAATAGTATAGAAATTTTGGTCTTTCAACCTCAAATTTGAAAAGTGATCATGGCTGAAAAGTTTGAGGTGATAGTGGTGTCCATATTTTTCTTGCCTGTGTGTTTCTTTTAATTTTCTTTAAAATGTATGTTGGTCGCTATGCCTGTTCAGAAAGTGAAATCATTATATAATGAGTGTTCCTCTGGTAGAAGTTACATGTGCTAAATATAAAAGCAAAATGACACTATACCAATGCATTGAAAACCAGAAATCTAGAGATGTGAACTTCTCCAAGGGCAGAGATGTCGTCTTCATCTCTCTATTCCCAGATTCTAGCCTGAGTATTGCTTCAGAAATGTTTGCTAAGTAAGTATATGAATGAATGAATGAATGAATGAATGCATGCATGCATGAAAAAGATAGTGTTCTCTTGTATAGTGTTGCAGAAATGCTAAAGGGAAATAATGAAAATTTTAGTTGGATGTTTAAGTACTGCTGGACTCTGCAAAGTAAAAAATAGTGGTGAATAAGAGACTGCCTTTTTAGTCATTCTTAACAGTTTCACCAAATAGCATTTAAAACTGCAACCTCTTGATTGAATCTGAATTACTTTGACCCCCCATCTCTTTCCGAAATTGTTAGCATCTTCTTTCAGTTAAAAAAACAAACAAACAAATCCAAAATACTGATTTTAATTGTTAAATCACTATATATTTCCTACTTTTTAAAGGTGCTCATCCTATGTAATTGCATAATGTTTAACTTCCTTAATTTATGATACTCCAACTTATTTACTTATAAGCTAAACTCTGTAGCTTGTGAGTGCTTAAATATATACATCAATAAAAATGATGGGTTTGGCATAATAATTAACATCCAAATACATAATTACACTACAGATAAGCATGAAAGTGCTTTACTTTCCTTGAAGCCCAATATAATAGGAATTATTGTTAAGACTTTGTGATGCCCTGTGAATAATTAAAAAGGAACCCTTTTTCCCCCCTAGATTGCAAACTGTGTGGTCAGTCTGGATCTGTCTTGTACCTTATCTGATGGGCAAAGATACCTTTTTTTTTAAAGATTTTATTTATTCATTTGACAGAGAGAGAGAGAGACGGCGAGAGAGGGAATACAAGCAGGGAGAGTGTGAGAGGGAGAAATAGGCCTCCCACAGAGCAGGGAGCCCGATGCGGGGCTCGATCCCAGGACCCCGGGATCATGACCCGAGCCAAAGGCAAATGCCCAACGACTGAGCCACCCAGGCGCCCCCAAAGATATCTTAACATCTAACACGTGATAGATATGTAATAGATGCTTAGTAATTATTTCTGGAGAAATTAACAAACAGTTATGCTCTAAAAATGTGTACTTGAATTAACTAAAGATAGGAATAAAGATCTTGTATTATATAATATTGAATCCCTATAGTTATCTACTTATTATCACTTTTCCAGGGAGAAATGTCAGAGGTTTTTAAAAAGTAATAGTTCTGTGACTAGAGCAAAAACTTCCAGAGTCAATTCTTTAGTCTCACAATCCTTTAAAAAGTAATTTTATGTTGTTCAGGATTCTTGCACACTTGGCCATTTGCATTAAAATGGTAAATTTGTTTTCTTGTCAAGTCTTGCCCGTGATCTGCAGTTTCTAGTTATTTATAACCAAGGTTTTGAGTTATTTTATTAATTTTCTTTGTAGGATGCTGTTCTGATGCAATTTTGTGCAAACAAATTGGACAAGAAGGACTTTTTTGGAAAATCAGATCCTTTTCTTGTATTTTATCGAAGTAATGAAGATGGCAGGTAGATTTATCTTTTATGCATTTTAACTCTATAGTAAGAATCATACTTCAACTATTATTTTTTTTCTCAGAGAAGCTCAGTAAATTGATAAACAGTAAAATATTTTGGTATTTTAAAAATGATTTGATTTTTGCATCTCAATAACAATGTGTAATTTTATAAGCATTTTACATGTTTTGTATGATATTAAAAATGAATGATTTTCAGCTTCAAAGAAACATTTCCTCGGTACTTTCCCTAAAATTATAATATTACCTTAATAGGATGGAAGAATTAAATTTTTGTGGAAATCTAAGATGCTAAAACTAATGTTTCTGGTTATAAAATTGAAGTCTTAAGCCATTTTCTCAGAGAAGGATTAGGATTTTATGGGTTGCTTTTTATACTTCAGGGTTTGTGTTTTCTTTGCCCCCAGTGATATTTGTCTAACATGCAATAACATTTTTCATTACATTTTAGTAATTTGAATGTTTTTAGCAGTCATGATTAGACTGGTTTCTATGTGGTTTGAAATTGTACCCATGAGTTATAAAGTATAATTTAATATGTATGATTCTACCATTAAATATGTTTTACTGTTTCTGAGATTCATACTGTACTGTCAGTATTTGTGGGTAAGCTTAGTGGTAAAATTATGGGCCAAGGTTCTATTTTGACTAGGTTTAAGTCATAACTATGCTACTTAATAGTTACGAGACCATAGGCAAGCTTTTTAACCCATATGAGACTCCATTTCCTCATCCGTAAGATGGGCTAATGATCATAGCTACTTCACAGTGTTGTTGACAGTATTAAATGAGTTAAAGTACAAAAAAACAGAAGCTTGCTTAACACATAAAATGTAAATGTTAGCTGTTATTATTTTTAATCTTAATGTATAAGTTTCCCTTAACTGTATGCAATAAAATATTAGCTAAAGGGAAAATGTTATTTCAAGATTAAAAAAGAAGGGAAGAGAATGAAAAAAAAAACCCTGTCACTACTGTCACACTTACAAATGAAATTATACATGTTAATGTTATATAATAAGTATATAAAATGTTACATAAAAATAGAAAGTTTGCTATTTAAAGTGAATACACTGGGCAGTATAAAATGATGCTTTACTTATTGTGAGATTGTTGTTGATGCAAATACTGGGCAACTGTTGGTTATTGTGTTATGGTGTCATATATTGCACTTTTCGTACTTCCCTTCTATCTTGGTGGTAAAAAATGTCAGAGTAGTATTTGCATCTGAATACTACTTTTACCCACGTGGAAAATAATTGGACAGTGAAGGAACTAATCATTTGCAGGTCGTTTCAAGGGTAGAGAAAAACTAAAGAATGGTTCAGGATTTCTTTGTCAAAAGTGTTGTTCTGTCTGAACTACTTGTTTTCTGAATTTTCTATTTTTATTCTTATTAGTTTTCGTTGTAAAGATTTGTTGTACAATTATAGAATTTCAGTCTCTCATATATTTAATACTACTGATGAGGGTTATATTATGGAAACTTAATTATGCTTGTAAAAATGGTAGTAATTTATTCATTAAATGAAATGTAAATATTAAGAAAAGAGTACAATTAATCAAAAAATCGCATTTAAAAACAACTGTTGCTAAAATTTGGTGGATCTCATTTCAGAAAACTTTCCACTTACATTTCCACACAGAAAACTAGGTCACCATCTATATCCAAATATATATTTTAAAGCATATGTATTAGTGTATTTATATATATTTATGTTTTGTTTTGATGAGCTTTGAATGAGTAAATGTGTTTTTACTCCTTACTTTTTATGTGTAAATCTCTTTTTTTAACTGCAAAGATTTTAGCTTTATTTTTAACATTTATTGAATATGAAGCTATTTCAAAAATTGCCTGTTGCCTCATGTGTTTGAGGCTCATTTTATAAGATAGTGTAAAACTTAGTTTTTACTAGAAGCATTAATAAAAATCCTTACCAATGTATGATTATAAATTCTTATTTTCTTGCTGTCACATTTATTTAGTGACTTAAATCGTATTCATAATTAGGTAATAATTTTCCCTTGGAATAGCTGGTTTTTTTTTTTTTTGGCAAATGACTTCATTTAAAGCATTTTAATAAGGCTTCATTTAAAGTATTTTAATAAGGCTGTTTAATAAAAATATTTTTCTTATAATACTATTTATAATATATATGCAGTTATATTTATGCAACAATAAATAAATAGCTCACTAAGGTGAACCACTTAAGAAAGTGTCAACGTATTTAATTATTATGGCTGGTGATACTAGAAATATAATAGAAGTTTTTATTTAACCATAAACAAAAAAGCCAAAAAGTCAATAGAATGTTTGTTGAACATGTTCGTTTGAAGATGGCCTGTTGGTTGCTCCATTATCTATCTATGTAACTACCTATGGATCCATGGATCTAGATACCATCTATCTAGCTATCTATCTGTATCTGCCACCATACCAAAGGCTTAATATATATAAGAATGTGATTCAAGAGAAGAAGAGAAAGCCCCTTTGTAGAACTTTAAGAATGTATTGTATTATGAAGAGAGTCAGAAGCCTGTTTCTAAAACAAAAACAGTACAGTTGACCCTTGTACAAAATGGGTTTAAACTCCACAGGTCCACTTACATGTGGATTTTTTTTTTTTTTGATACAGTACTGTAAATGTATTTTCTCTTTAAGATTTTTTAAAATAACATTTTCTTTCCTCTAGCTTACTTTATTGCGAGAATACAGTGTATAATACATATAACAAACAAAATATGTGTTAGTCAACTGTTTATATTATTAGTAAGGCTTCCAGTCACAGTAGGCTATTAGTAGTTCAGTTTGGGGGGAGTCAGAAGTTATGTGCAGATTTTTTTACTGTGTGGTAGCTCCATGCCCCTAACCCCTGCATTATCCAAGGGTCAACTACATATGTAATTTTGTCCCCATGAATTTTTCTTTTTTTTTTTTTTTT